GAGCTGTGAGACCCAGTGAGGAGCCGCTGCACCCTGGGAGCCCTGGGTGGAGCAGAGTTTTCCTCAGGGCTGTTCATGTGGCTCAGTTGGTAGTTCCAGCTGATCTAGTATTGGGGCGTCACACGTGATTCAAAAGTGCTTCTAGGGCAGGTGCTGGGAAGGGTTTTAGGAGGGACTAAAAGCAGTCTAGCAATAGGCTGTTGTCCATCTGTGCTGAGTAAAGTCCTGTCAATTCACTGGATAGCGAGGAAGTAAACAGCTATTTAGCAGTATATGCTGAAGTGTTACAGAAGTTCTACTGAGTCAGCAGAGGCCAGTCAAAAGCAAACCACCACATACAACCTGCTTTGCTTAATGTCTGCAAGGAAGGTCCTGCAGCCCTGTGGTGTTGCACTTGTTGCTTCTGCTGTCCACCTCCCTGTCTGTCTCTGGAACCAGTTCATGCTGTGTTTGCAGGTCTGTCCCTCAATAACATGTGCAGTCCCCAGGTGTAGAAGGCAAAATGGGACTTCAGGCACCATATCCTTGAAATGCCAGCCCTGTCTCTGCTGGGAACCGCAGGTATGCAAGGTATCTGTGGGCATCCCCTGCCGCCTCTTGCTTCCCTGTGGTCATAGTGTGATAATCTATCTCCTGTCAACATCCCAAAGCACACTGGAAGGTGGAAGCTCTGCATCTTGTATCTTACCTCTTCGGGCAACCTCTTTTGTATTTTAATGAATATGTCCTTGGTTTGAGCTGCCCTTTATTTGTACTGCCAGTTTTCAATCCCACAGATAATTAGGAGAAAATAACCCGTAAAGCAAATTTTTCACAAATAAAAAGAATAACAAACACCCTTTGACATTAAAAAAAGAAAGTTACAGCATTTACAGAGAACAACAACTTAATGATGTGGGGAAAAAACCCCACTGGGTACAGAATTAGAAGGACGCATGTGCATATTTATGTTTAAAATTTAAAGAAGTGCGCTTTGTGCTTTTTATATTCAGTGGTCTAATATGAGTTTGGGTGAGCCGTTATCTTTTTTCTCAGATCAAGAAAAGAGAATGGAGACTGAATTCTCAGTTCAGCATATGTTTATCTCTGTCCTTAACCCGTGTGGTTGCATAATGATTTTTGTGATGCTCTGAGAGATCATATAAGATTAGAACTGTTAAGAGCAAATGCTCGGCTCTTCTATTTGCAGAGACAAGGGTGAAGAGAGGACTCCAACAGTGGGGGGCTCAAAAAATAGAAACCTAATGAGAATAGAGTTGGGGAAGGAGTGCTTGATTAGTTTGGGAGCTTCTTTTTAATTGTTTTTATTTTTACAGTTGAGGGCAGGTGGAGATGCTGGTAGTCTTATTTGTGCTTTTGCACATTTTCACATTTTTTTTCAAGAGGGAATGGGAGGCAGAGTCTTATGTAGGAATTTCCTGCAAATTTATGGGTTTGTATTATGAAGCATGCAGACTTTCTCATAAGCAGCAAGAGGAAAAATTTTAGTGTTGTTTAATTGGGGGTTGGGTGTTACTGAAATAACTAGGAGTTTCTTTACATTGTCAGCATTGAGTTGCCTGGAAACTTCTTGGTTTGGGAGTTAGTGGTGTTTCTGCATTTTTTTTTACAGCACATAAAAAAGACCTACTCAGTCACAAGAGTCTGTGAAGGTCTGCTGGCCATGCAGGGACCCTCCCAGACCATATAAGCCAAACACAGACATTGTCAAAGGTAGAAACCTCTTGTTGCAAAAGGTATAGAATAATTCTTTGTTGAGATGAGAGTGACACACTCAGGCAGGCTAATTTGGCCTGCAAGAATAAGGGGAAGAAGAACTGTGTTGGTGTAGCAAATCTGTTCTTATTACTAAAAATTGATTTTGACCTTTGTGGAGATACTAATTTCACCTCCTAATAACAGAAAATTTTGGATGATTGCTTCAGGTCTGGTACAAGACTTGAAAAATTCATCAGCAATCTTGATTTGTTTTGACATGTTTTTTGGCCTACTACTGAGTTTTGTATATCTGTTTCTCCTAAGTATTTGCTTGCAGGCAGCGTTGCTTGTTTGTTTGAATCCTCACTGTCTTGGCAGTTGAACAGTATTGCCCAAAGGTCCCAGCATTGTTCTTCATTCCTATGTAACAGGACTCAAATAATAAAAATGAGACAATAATCATAAATGAGATTTCAATAACAGAAATGCCTTTCCAATTCTGTAATCTATTGGGTTTGCTTGTTGTTCTCTTTCTTAAGACTTACCTTTCTTTCTGATTTTTATTTATTCTTCAGTAAGAACATTATCAAAAATTACTGTGTTTATTTAGACTACTACAGTGCCTTTGGCTCCTGTCATTAGGATGGCTCAGTGAGGAGTCTAGGAAATAGCTCCCATGACTTTGACAACAGTCTTTATAAAAACCTTATTCTCATAAACTAACTCATTTTCAGAGTCATTCCAGGCAGTAGAATCACCCATGTCCCCAACCTGTGTTCAAGGGTCAAGCAAAATGTCTGGTTATACTCTGTTGTCCCACATCCGAGAATAGGTCCAGGTGGATTTTCTGGGGCAGAATTTTCTCTGTTGATGTCATATGTCGAGGGCTCTGTAGCAGAATCTCTTTTAACTAGCACATGAAGCACATGTTTAAATGTGTGTTTCAGGTGATGCTGAGGAAGAGCCACTAAACAGATGAGAATTCATGCAGGGGTTCAGAGTAGAACTAGTTAATTTAATTGACAAACTAGGAATCATTCCCCTTTTGAGAGGGTATGAGTTAAAAGATGGTGCTCCAGGTTCTGTATAGTGAAGAACTGAACAGATTTTCTCTGAAATCTTTATTTCTTCTGAAACTACTAAGTACATCTCATCCTAAAAATATGGATTGGTTTTGTTCCATTATTTGTTTAATTGTTCTTAAATAAACTCTGGATCTAAAAAATAGAAAAAATATGTGACCTGCCTAGTGGTATGTACTGGTTTGGTTTGCATCACTATTTGGAAAAGGAGAGAAGACAGTAACAGAATTAGACAAAAAGATTCCCGAAGCCATCTGCTCCTCTCCTTGCAGACATTAGATGTTTACAGTACAACAGTAGAACATGGAATGGCTCTCCTTTCCTTCAGGACTACGTTGGCTGTCTGTAAAGTGAGCACATAATAGAGTGAAGATGTCTTGTAGGCAGCCACAAACTCCCACTGATTTCCAGTCCTATTTACATACTTCTCAAAAATCTTAGCAATCCTTAGCCTTCCTGGAAAGCCACTGTGGGATGATGCCAAGCTGCTGTCACAGATTATAGCTAAGGAACTCAGGATCCTTCAGGGGCAGGATCACAGTTTCTCAGGACTGGCTTAACCCAGCAGACTGTATATCTGTGGTTGGACAGAGCCCAAAGAGACAGCATAAAAATAATAAATTATTAATATCTGGAAGATGTAAAGCTTAATGAATAAGTAATAAGTTGCAGCACTTTTCTTAGAAAAATAGACTGGCTGTACTTTTTAAATTTTCCTTTCATTGAACATGTTTCTTCTGTTGCTCTTTCTAAGTATCCTAAGGTGCTGAAACTTAGGATTAATTTTACAAAAACTAAGAAAGTTATACCGCTGCCATTCAGGCTGAGAAAGAGAAGGAGAGATGTTTTCTGAAAAGAGCTTTTGTTGATTTTGCTAGTAGGGAGGGAGGGTCTGGAACAGCTGAGTGATTGCACAGCTGCTTCCAGCAGCATCTCCCTAGGAATGTAGCAAAGGAGATCCTACTGTGTGCCTGCAGAGATGGAGGCACACAAAAAGGTACGGTAATTTTCCTGGCGTCATCCCTCTGGTTAACAAAACTAAATGTTCAGGGTGTCTCCCAAGTCTCATACTTGTGTTTTCCTGGCAGCATAAGACAGGGAAAACTTTTTAGACAAGCACATGTAGCCTGCAGTTTAAAAGAAGAGTGGGTTGGGATTTTATCACTGGCCACCACCACACTGCTGACACTGACAGGGATCCAGTCCTTGACCTCTAACAGAATCCAATTTGGGCTAAGCCCCTTTGGAATGCCCAGCCAACAGCCACATTTGGAGATCGCCTCCTGTTTGAAGCGATGGTTTCTCTGCAGTCCTGGCAGGATTTCAACCTCAGTAACTCTGCTGCACCTGCTTAAAATCCCTCCCTCATGTTTCCCTGGGTATGGCATGGGCCCCTCCTGTTCTGCAGTGCTTCAGTGTTCCCCTTCCAATTTCATACCACCTGCTCCTAAATTGATTTCTAGATCACTTGTACCTCCATTTATTAATCAAGCTGGCTTCCTTGTAATTATTTCAAAGGATCTAAGCGTGAAAGCAGTAAGTGCGTGCACAACCCTTGTGCTGTTCTGTGCAGTAGCTTCTCTTGTTGTTTATCTGCATCACCCAGCAGGTTGTGATCCTTGCATATTCCTTTTACAGTGAGGCTTGGGTTCATCCACGTTAGTCTCAATTGACGTGTTGCCCCTGTGACCACGTCCTTGTTGGTAATGGAGCTAGAAGGGCTATTCTTGAGAAGAAGGGGGAACTGGTGCTTATTGCAGGTTTGGGATCCACTCAGGTCTAGGGGTGGAAATCGCGTCTGTTCTTCACATAGGTGCAACAGGCAAGGTAGGGCCTTTCCTTCCATGTGTGGCTTGTCAGAGAATGTTATCACAGTGAGTTTATTTTGTGACCTCAAACACCTCTACAAAGTCTGTACCTCTTCTTTAACTTCAAATTTCTTTTTTTTTCCTCCCTCTTGGTATGTCATTGTTTTCAGTAATGTATTGACAGCAGAGCAGATGTCTTTGCTTTGTCTCTAATATTGGTTTCTCCATCCAGACTTCAGAACTGGGAGATCATTAAAATCTGTCTTTTCCATGACTTTTAGGCAGCCGGGTGCTTTACTTTCCCCTTTACCTGCAAGTATTTCTTTTCGTGCTGTAAAATCAATTTGTTCTGTGTGCTTTTACTTAAATCTGACTGCTGCTAACACTGTGTTTGTTTCATTAACAGGTTAGCTTCACAGGAAACCCATCACCAACAGCAAGAAAACTCCAAGGACAAGTTGAACGCAAACAACGTCTCGGAGACAGTCCATGGGGACTGTACCAGATCCTCTGAGATCTGCCAAGCTTTCCGTGGTCTCAGCTTCTGCAGAGGAAGAGCACCTGGGAGACCTGCAGTCTGCTAAGCACCAGCCCCAACTACCCAGTGGCCAGAGGACCAGCAATGGCTTCCCTTGCACACCATCCAGCTCAGCTGCAGTTTGCTTGTCTGACCTGAAATGCACAGGTGCTGCCGGCACTCAGGGGTGTGAGCAGTGCCACAAGGACAATGAGAGCCGGCAGGAAGCCTTTCCTCCTGGGCTTGCCAGCACAGCTGCAGAGGGGCATCCTGCAGCTGTAAATCCTGCTGGTTGCTCCCAGCCAGCGGGCAGCCGAACACCAGCAGCACCAACCCTTCCTGCAGCAGGAGCCCTCTTGGCAGGGCAAGGGCCAGAGATGATGCCAGCCCCCCAGAGCTCCCGGCAGTTCGTGCAAGGAAGCCAGGTGAAAACGAGCTCCCTGACACAAATAGATGACTCTGCCTTGAAACCTCAGGGGACCAATGATCAGCCGGCACTTGAGGTGTTAAATTATTCTTCCCCAGGTGATCCTGTCAGGGGTGATGAATCCTGTCATACTTCTCAGGCAAACCTTCTGCAAAGAGGGGAAAAAGACAGGGGAGCAGAAAAAACCGGTTCTGCTGCATGTCAGTCAGCCTTGCCAGCAAGGCAAACCGAAACTGACCTGGGGAGAGACCCACAGACCAGTTTGGAGGCGAAGAGCGGGCCTGCAGACTTGGCGCAGTTGCAGCCCACAGATAAAGCTGAAGCGGCGCAGAGCAACAAGGCACCAGCCCAGTTCAGCCACAGGAGTCCACATCTTGTACACAACACAGACCCCAGGCCAGGAAGTCCAGGTCCCACCCAGCTCTCCAAATTCAGAGAAACAGGTACAATGACCGTTCAGCCAGAGAGCAGCTGTTTGACTCAGGAAGCTGAAAGTAGGACATGGCGAGATGCTGAGGTTCAGGCTGTGGCTGCCGTGGAGAGCAAATCAGCTTCCACCAGTCCCAGCATCCTTGTTGCCTTCTTGAAAGGAAATCCTCCTCCAGAGGAGAAGGAAGAACTGCACATAATTTACCAAGGAGGTATGGGGCTGAGCCAGGCTGAACGTACTGACAGTTTATCCCCACCACAAAAGTCCCCGTGTTCTCTTGGTATCACATCAAAATCGACTGTTATGGCTGTGACTGCTTCAGCCCAAACCCAGCCTGTCAAACTGCCTGGGGTGCCGTCTGACATGGTGTCTCCAGTGTCAGCAGATAATGCAAAACCTGTTGTCCCCTTCTCCCCTGCAGCCGTTACCTCCCAAGGGACACCTGTGCGTAATGCTGGAATGACCAGTGAAGCCCATGATGGCAAGGATGCTGCTCAGCTGCCAGTGGATGCTCCAGTCCCACCAAAGCCTGTCCCAGTCGAGCAGCTTGCTCTTGACTCCAGCAATCAAACTCCATCACAGTCTGGGACTGGCACTGATGAACCAAGCAACACTTCCCCTGATGCTGTCCCAGGAACCGAGAACAACGGGCGAGATCTTGTCCGTGTTGCAGGAAGCAGCCCGTTAGCTTTACTCTGTAGCACAGACAGTGAAGTCAAGCAGAAGGAGGTCCCAGGTAGCTCTGAGCAAAAGCCTGCGCAAAGTAAGGGTGCAGGTCAAGGGGAGGCCATTCCTTATCAATCTGTGGTAAAACCAAAGGAAGAAAACTCAATGGTGCTTGATCCTAAAGGAGGGATGAACGTTAGCAGCCAGCCTACCACTGTCCATGTAAAGGCGTGCTTGGAGGATGTAGGTGAGAAGGAGAGCAGAGGCCAGGGAGACACTGGCCAGTCTCAGACAGCCAGCAGCCAGAACCTGCAGGCAGGACTGACACCTAAGTTGAGTGGGAGTTCTCCAGGTCTTGCCCATCCTGTGGCGGCATCTGCAGCTCTCCAGCAGCAAGGCTTCCAGGCCAGGGAGTGCAGACACGAGCTTCACACAGCAGCAATTCCTGCTTCAGCTCAGGCCTTGCCAAACCTGGGGGAAAACAAAAAGCAGCACACCCCAGCCATGGAGGCAAAAGTGCAAGTGAAGCAGTCCAAACACGTCAGGGATGTTGTTTGGGACGAGCAGGGAATGACATGGGAAGTTTACGGTGCTTCCCTTGATCCAGAATCCCTGGGAATTGCCATCCAGAACCACTTACAGAGACAAATACGGGAACATGAGAAACTGATCCGGGCCCAGAACAGTCAGACACGGAAATCCATTTCCTCGGATACATCCTCAAATAAAAAACTGAAAGGGAGGCAGCACAACATGTTCCAGTCCATGCTGCAGAATTTTAGGCGTCCTAACTGCTGTGTCCGACCTGCTCCCTCTTCTGTGTTAGACTGACGTGGTTTGCAGGGGTGTCTGGATCTCTGCAGTGGTAGAGAGAATCCCTCTCCTCAAGTCTCAAGTCCTGCTGTTCGGTTGTGTTACTGAGGTTGTGATGCAGCAACAGTGGAAAATTATTCCCCTTTGTTTTCTGACTAGCCACATGCTCCATCGTGCCATTATTATTGTCACAGCTGGTGTACTCCCACATTATGTCCCCATCCCAACTACTGTCAGATGAAAAGCTAGGCACTTAGCAAAAGCACAAATTTCAATTGCCACCTTGTTGCAGGGAGAGCATCACCTTCTGTTAAAGTAGGAAGCAGAGAGATTATCAGAATTATTATGGGAAATTATTTGTGTGCATCATGAGGTCTTATACAAAGGGGTGGACTGGGGGAAGCTGAGGGAGGTGGAACTAAGGTTTAACAGCTGTCAAGATATAACACAAGACAACTTTCCTGGTGTGTAAGTTACCTACGCTGAGGCAAATCCATGAACAGGCTATGGACATTGATCACTGAGCAGTCTCACTTCTGCTCATACTGTGGGTCACTGTTTTCAGGTTAGCCCCAGGGAGCCAGGTCTTCCCCTCCTGTTGAAATGGAGAATGAGGAAAAGAGTGAGGATCAAGACTGAAGGACTGTCTCTTTGGGAGAAGCTAAATCAATGGGATTTTGATGGCCAGAAGGGGAGGTGAAAGAGGGGCTTTTTGTCCCCTGCATCAGCCATGCTTAATGTATAAGCAGGTGAGGCACAGGAGAGCACATTGGTAAATGTACCTGCATCCAGTGGGATGGTGCCTGCTGGGGTGTTCCTGCCAAGTCTTTCAAAAGCAGTGAGCCCATTCTGGCTCCTCAGCTGGGGTGGGCAGCCCCTGCTCCCCGCCTCCCACGGTGCTGAGCACCTCTCCTCTAAATCACTCTTTAAAGTGATGTGGATCTTTCTTCTCTCTCCAGAGATGTTCTCCCATACGAGCAGGCTGTCCTGTCCATGAGCCTCCATGTCTAGTGTGGGTCTTTTTCCCTTTTAAGTCCTTAGCAAACTCTACTTTTCAGTATTTTGGTGCTTTTCTTGCTGCCTTTCATAAAACCAATACCATTTATTTAGCCTGTGTGTATTTTGTTTTACCTAACACTCTCTATATTATAAACCATTATATTGTTAACTTGAAAAATTTACTTTATAGCAGTACTGAAATCTTGAGACAATCTTTGCTGTATTTCTGAAGTTAGAAAAGTTATAGAAACTGCTAATAAAAAGTAGCTTAGTGACTGTTTCTCCAGAATTGTGATATACAATAATGTCTCAAATGTATGTTGGTCACATTTCTCAACATAATATTTTTCAGCCTGGGAAATATGTTTCCCACTAGCTTTTTATTCTGTCCACTAGAGTTCTTAATGGGAGGCTGGGGAACTCCTGCAGTTTGTAGGAAATTTAGTTATCAATCCTGCAAAGCACTGAGGATTTGGATGCTGTAATCCTGCAGAGTACAAGAGTTAAATAGGAGTTACTTTTATTCCATTAAAGATTTTTCATGAATCATGATGATAATTTTTTTTTCCATCTGTAGTACCACATGCCTGACTTACTCTGTAGATCTTACAACTTACTCTAAATCTTACAGGTTTACGCAGTGTAAATGAGTATTAATGGGGTTTTTTTTGGTTTTTTTTCTGTGAAGTGAACATGAGGTAGTCCCATTTTATTTAGGAGGCCAGATTTTCTGAGTATATCAACTGACAACCCTTCATAGTAGCTGTTTTGGGGCAATTTTTCCCCAACAGAGGAGTAAAATACTGTAATATACAATATTTTAACTCAGTTCAATGAAAGGTGTTACCTCTAGGCGTAGTACTGAATTGACTCCCAGTTTTCCTCTGGTGCATATCTGGGGGCTTTATGTCATGTCTTTGTTCAATTTCTGTACGTTATTTCAAGTCCTCTCCCACTTGTGATGCTGAATTGCTCATTCTGAAACACCACATTAGAGAGTGTCTTCCCACCTCTGCCTACCAGGAGGAAAGTCTCCAGCCTTTTTTCTGTTAGTACTGCTGTTTCCATCCCCTTCCTAGCAGTGTCTGAGATGTGAGTTTCATGTGAAATTTTGTGTGGCATTCATATTGGCAGTATCATTAGGTCAGGTTAGTTGACAAGTTCAGTGTCTCTTCCCACATTGTGCCCATGTCAGCCCTGACGAGGTTCCCTGAGCTGTCTGTGTTTTTTGCTGTCTCCTGTCCAGGTCCAAGGCTTTGTGCTGCTCCTTTTGCCTCCCTTCTGCCCCTTCCCTCACTAGCTGTTGCCCAGCCTGTCTTCTTGTGAAACCGTGTCCCTTGGCTCAGCTTGCGTCCCTCTCTCTGCTGTCCCCCTTCCTGTAGCGCTGTGAGCCAGCTTACTCTGAACTGTCCCTTTTTATCCTCAGTCTGAATATACAAATGGATTGTCATATTTTTTTCCAGAGGAGAATAAATGGCTATCGCGCATTCACCAATTTCTATGAACTTTATCCTTTAGCTTAAGCTCTGCAAAATATTTCCAGCATGTGGGTGGCTTTATTGAGACCAAACTGGGCTTGGCAATGAATGACCAGGGTGCTGGGCCAGCACTGGAATTAATTCTTCTTTGTGAGGAAGAGGAGATCTCCCCTGGTTCCCTGCAGCTTCTTTCAGCTGTGTTTTCACTAGCCAGTGCACCTACACCTCTCTTCCCCACGCCAAATGACCTTTCTTCTAGGAAAATTTCACCAATGCATACGTACCGCAAAGCGCTGATGGACAGCTTACTGAGTGGATGCATCTGAACAACTGCATGGGCATAACTGAAAAAAATGTAGTGTTCAGCACATATTCTGGGAAAATACCAGTGCAAAGACACAAAGTGTCCGTGACACTGTCTGGTGAGGGCAGAAGTCCTGCAGATGTGTGTTTGAAGTCAAGCAATAAAGTGCCAAAAGCCAACACACAAAAATGAGTTGATAATCACCAGCACATCTCATGGAAAATATTTTAGGTTTTGACTCTGCCTTGCTAGGGCAGACTGTAGGCAAGCTGCTAGTTTTAACACTGGTGATTTATGCTTACTCCTCCATACAGTGTCTAGATGAAAATATGAATCCTCATGTGGATGACACACGTTTCACCAGCAGCAAAACAGAACCATGTTTTGGGTAGCAATTAGCAAATATTATGCATGTGAGTGGGCTTGTAGCAGCCAAGAAAGACTGTTCTTGGTGTCTTCATTTGTCAGAAATGAAAGTGTGCCTGGAGTAGTGGTATGGCAGAGAGTAGGGGCAGATGATCTGTGTGCCACCACCCCATTCTTTTTCTCTGCCCAGTGACTCAGAATCACATTGCTGATGGTTGGATGGTTAAAAACCAAGGAAATCCATTTGGGCTAATAAAAAGAGGGTTCAAAACAGAAAATACTTTGTCATTTCCAAGAGTAAATCAATATGGAAAAAAAAAGGAGAAAAATACCTGTATCGCAGCTTAGCCAGCTGAAGTAACTTTTAAATTCATTTTTTTTGCAAGATGAGAAATTTTGGGAAACAAGCTTACTGTCAGGAAACTATTTCCTGTTGGTTGCATTTATAAAAGCAGTGAATGAGAACGGAATATTTACTTCTAGTTTCACTTCAGGAGCTTTCCACTAGGAAAAGATGAGAATAAGCACATTTCAGTGTTACCAATACAAAACCTGAGTTAAAAGAGTATGTTGGTGCAGGCAATTTGCAGTATAGTCCTGGATTTCACGTGAAGCTGTGACATGTCTATGTGCACTTGGTTGGTATCAGCCAGCTTTGTGTTGCTTTGGGCACAAGTTCTGAAGTTCTTCCTCATTTCTACTGACTTGGTTTGGAGAAAAGAAGAGTGAGGAAGTAGCTGAATAGACAAGAAGGGGAATATCTGTCTTCTTCGTTTCAGAGGAAAAAAACCTTCTTTTGAATATACAAGAAGGAATTGCTGAGAAACATGGGAAGGGAGCGACCAAAAGACATGTAAAATAAAGTTGATGTAGGTGCTTCACAAGGAATTCCCATTCCTGTGTGTGTGAAGCCAGTGTTTTGCTTAAGTTCTACCCATTTCTTCATTCTGACCTCACACATTTTTCATATTGTTGGTGGTATCCTGTGACTTTTAGGAAAATTAACATTTCCAAAGGCTGTATATTTTGCTAGTATTTATGGATATATCCAAATTTGATCAAATAAAACCTCTAGGCAAACAACGTCAGTTTATTACTGCTACCGCAATTGTAAAATGCACTGTTTGGAGAAGCATATTCAAGGGATTCAGAAAAGGTGAATGTATGCTCTAAAGATAACACTAGCTTTTCTCTTGAATTTCATTACTGTGTTGAAGTGTTAAAGGTAAAAGTGGAAATCCAAATGAAGATCAGTGTTGAAGGAAAATTCAAATTGGCTGCCGCTGGTTTTCAGTTTGGAAACTTGATGGAATATACCATTCCAGTGTTTCATTACTTAGCTCAGTGTATGCAAGGTTTGTGTGAAAGTACAAATTTTATTAGCTTGTTAGCTCCATTATCTTGTTCTGTGTCTATCCTTCTACACCTTTTAAAAATTAATGCAAAATGTTACCAAGACAGAGTAAGTCTTTCACAGACAGCTTATGGGAAAAGCTGCTCTGAAAGAGACAACTGACTGTCAGACTCCATGGGCTTAAAAACTTACAGATACAGTTTTAGTAACCAACCTCAGCTGTTTGGGTTTTTTTGGTGTCTCTGTAATGCCTCTATGAGTGATCAGTATTTTCAGTTGTCCGAAAGATGTGCACATAGATCCTTATCCAAATACTGCACACTACCAAGTATCTCTGGGATCACTGGCTGCTGCAGTGGTTCATGGATCTGAAGGTCAGGTCCTGTACCTTGAACTGGCTGCAGTGTTCTCTTAGGGGCCTAAATTATCCCACTTGAGTTAGTGTAGATGTTTAAAAGAATGAAGTATTACAGCTGAATTGACCCAAACTGAAATTACTGTCATCTGGGGTTTTTTTTAAACTCTTGAGATTTACTGTTTTTTTCTGCTTTTTGATTTTCTGAGCAGCCCTTCCTTCTTAGAATTTATAATGTGGATTTTGCATCAAAACCTGGCAAAGAAGATCTTGCGAAGTGAAATCTACCTTTCACCATTCAGGCTGCTTTAAAGAAAAAATAATGTTACTACTGAGCCAAATCACACAGAGAGGAAATATTTTTTCCTCTAGGAGAATGTTTGCTGTAGGTAAGCTTTTGTGTACATTGTGTCCCTATTTAAAAGGGGAGTACATGTGTGCAGGTCTCATGCATCACTCATGCTCTAATATGACTTTTTCTGTTTGCCCTTCTGATTGAATGCTGGAGGCTTAGCATTTTCTACAACCTTGAGGCAAGTTTAAATCACTCTGCAATACAGAAACAAGGATTTTCTCCTTATCTGGTCTCTAAAAAACAGACTATGGGTGACAGCAAGCATTGGAGTTCATTAGAAATAGAATCACATCAACTGAGCCCCATTTGAAATAATAGACCATGAGTTTTTGTTAGTTTTCTGCTTAGACTGACACTCTTTTGAGTAGAAATAAATGACATCTGCAAAGTTTCCAGAGGTTGTCTGCTGCAGAATATGAGTCTCTCAGATGCTTCTCAGCAGCTCTGCTACAACAGGTGACCCTTCTGCTGCAGTGTCCTCCTGACAGCACTTCCCTTAGCCCAGTTCACAGTCAATAATTTCAAGTACATCAAAAGCAAGTTTAGACACTGCCCTGAGGAATTTCCATAAAATGGAAGAGAAAGATCCCTATGTTTGTGGCACATAAAATCACATCTGAGTTGTGAAATAAAGATCTCAGTGGCACACTGAAAAATACTGGGAGTTTCTACACAGAGTTAAAGGGAGGGAGCATAGCTGGACTTTTAATTCCAAAAACCTATGGCCATGGATCAGTCAGCAGCAGAAGAAAACTAACTTTGGGGCTTCTAACAACAAATAATATTATTGTGGCGTTATTCATTTTATAGTTACACTGATTGAACGTGATGTACTGTACAAAATAAAGCTAGTATTAGGCTTCCAGGTGTACCGTGGCATTCATTTGAGACATACCAACAGAAGTTTGCATGTGAAGAAGTCTTACAGTGATACTAAAGCAATGTTACCCACTTGATTGAGTCCCTTAGGAATTTAATGTTTTGCTGTTTTACATCTGGTTTCCATGCTGAGTACAATAAAATGAGCACTGTCTTAATTACTCTGGGTCTCTGTTTGTAGGCTGACATGGGAAAAGAAAGGACTTTTAAGGGTGGACCTTCTGGCTAAATCTGTGGATGTCTGTAAGTCAAAGCTGCTATGAAAGGCTTTCTGAATTCAGGCCTGAGACCTGGCACCTTGAAAGCTCAGCATGGTGAAGCTTCCACACACTGTCCCAGCTGAAGAAGAGACCTGTCTGCTTCCTTCTGTGTAAGTGCAGTTGCCTTTGCACAGCTGTCTATGAGCACAGGCTTTTCTGCATCAGCTGCTACTTTACCCTTCTGCATGAATTCGCTCAGCCTTTCAGCAGTCCATTGCCACACAACAACACATTACTCATTCAGCT